GCTAATTTTTTGATTTATTGTAGAGATGAGATCTCACCAAGTTGCCCAGGCAGGTCTTGAACCCATGGGCTCAGGCAATTCACCCACCTCAGCCACCCAAGGCGCGGGATTACAGGCTGAGCCACTGAGCCCAGCTGGTTTTTGTTTTTTTTTTGAGTCAGAATCTCACTCTGTTGCCCAGGCTGGAGCGCAGTGGCACACTCACGGCTACTGCAGCCTCGACCTGCTGGGCTCAGGCGATCCTCCTGTTTCAACCTTCCAAGTAGCTGGAACCATAGGCATATGCCACCACGCCTGGCTAATTTTTTGATTTATTGTGAAGATGAGGACTCGCTATGTTGCCCAGGCTGGTCTCAAATCTGTGGGCAGTCCTCTCGCTCCGCCTCCCAAGGTGCTGGGATGTTGGGTGAGCCACTTGCCTGACTATAGTGGTTTTTAACAAGTAACCATTTTGAGAAATAACAAACTGAGCTCACTCTAATCTCTGTTTCTGAAACAGATGTCTGAGGATAAAAAGGATGAGGACAGTGGAACAAGCTCTTCAGGAAGTAAAGGTGAGTGCAGTGCATGTTGGGTATTGAACTAAGAGGAGAGAGGGATGTGTGGGGGCGCACCCTGGTAGTGGCCTTGGGAGACTAAGGAGGGAGGATCCCTTGAGCCTGGGCAACTTGGAGAGACCTTGTCTCTACAATAAATCAAAAAATTAGCCGGGCGTGATGGCGCACACCTGTGGTTCCAGCTACTTAGAAGGCTGAGGCCGAAGGATCACCTGAGCCCAGCATGTTGAGGCTGTGGTGGCCCTGAGCGTGCCACTGTACTCCAGCCTGGGCAACAGAGAGTGAGACTCCCACTCAAAAAAAAAAAAAAAAAAAGAAGAAGCAGGAGATGGATTTTGGAACTTAACTTGGTTGTCAGTGACGCAAGTGACTTCCTCACTGAAACAGATAATGGTTTTAGATAACCACTGGAAGGAGAGTTCCCATCTGGGGTGTTCTTCCCATTGTAGAAGCTACAGGCATGACTCTGAAACCTAACCTGCTTAGTAACATGTTCTCGATCAGCTTCTTAAGCTGAGACATCCACCAAAACCACATACATCAATCCCTGATCTTCAGTGTTTGCTGATTTTTATGGTATAAATATTTCCAGCAAAGCTGGTTTTAAACTGGTAACATTATGTCACTGGACGTGGAGTTAGGAAGAGATGTGCCATAGCAGACCTTATGTAGTGTTTTCTTTTTGTTTCTTTTTAATTTTTTTTTTTTTGAGTTGGAGTCTCACTCTGTCACCCAGGCTGGAGTACAGTGGCATGCTCACGGCCACCGCAGCCCTGACCTGCTGGGCTCATGTGATCCTTCCGCTTCAGCCTTTCAAGTAGCTGGAACTACAGGCATGGGCCACCATGCCTGGCTAATTTTTTGATTTATTGTAGTGATGCGGTCTCACCAAGTTGGCCAGGTTTGTCTCGAACCCGTGGGCTCAGGGAATCCTCTCATCTTGGCCTCCCAAAGTGATGGGATTATAGGCATGAGAAACCGCTCCCAGCTTTTTATTTTCTTTCTTTCTCCCTCTCTCCCTCCCCCCTTCCTTCCTTCCTTCCTTCTTTCATCTTTCTTTTGATGTGGTCTCCCGCTATTGCCCTTGCTATTCTCAAACCCCAGCCTCAACCAGTCCTCCTACCTCAGCCTCCCAAAGAGCTAAGATTACAGGCGCAAGCCATTGTGCCCAACCTACATAGTATTTGTTTGTTTGAGTCGGAATCTCACTCGGTTACCCAGACTGGAGTGCAGTGGTACGCTCACAGCCACCACAGCCCCAACCTGCTAGGCTCAGGTGGTCCTTCCACCACAACCTTCTAAGCAACTGGAACTACAGGCATGCACTACCACGCCTGGCTAATTTTTTGGCTTATTGTAGAGACGAGGTCTTGCCAAGTTGCCCAGGCTGGTATCAAACCCCGGGGCTCAGGTAATCCTCTCACCTCAGCCTCCCAAAGTGCTGGGATAACAGGCATGAGCCACTGCGCCCGGCCACCCACATAGTATTTTTAACATCCAGATTCAACAGACATGAACAACTTCAAAAGTATAAAGCAGCTGGGAGCAGTGGCTCATGCTTGTAATCCCAACACTTTGGGAGACAGAAGTGAGAGAACTGCCTGAGCTCAGGGGTTTGAGACCAGCCTGGACAATATGTCTAGACCTTGTCTCCACAATAAATAAAAAAATCAGCCGGGCATGGTGGCACATGCCTGTGCTTCCAGCTACTTGGAAGGCTGAGGCGAAAGGATTCCCTGATCCCAGCAGGTTGAGGCTGCGCTGGTCGTGAGTGTGCCACTGCACTCCAGCCTGGATGAGAGTGAGAATCCAACAACAACAACAACAACAACAAAAATATAAAGCATAATAAAATGTAGTAAGATAATTAGGAAGTGATAAGTTTTCAGTAGTTATTATCTTTATTTTTAGCAAATTGATTTTATTGTAAATTTGTATAATTTAATTTTTAATAATGGCTATGCTTTATCATCTCACAAAAATTCCTGAAAGTGAATGAGCTCTTGTAAGCTGGCACAAGCCAACTGCAGCACAGCAACCCCTACATAAAGAAAAGATTCTTAGCCAGGCTCGGTGGCTCAGCCTGTAATCCTGCGCCTTTGGGAGGCTGAGGTGAGTGGATTGCCTGAGCCCGCGGGTTTGAGACCCACCTGGGCAACTTGGTGAGACCTCATCTCCACAATAAATTTAAAAAATCAGCTGGGCATGGTAGCACGTGCCTGTAATTCTGGCTACTTGGAAGGCTGAGGCGGAAGGATCGCCGGAGCCCAGTGGGTTGAGGCTGCGGTGGCTGGGAGCGGCCACTGCCCTCCAATCTGGGTGATGGAGTGAAACTCCAACTCAAAAAAAAAAAAGAAAAGATTCTTCTTGTAAGGTATGGTGGCTCACACCTGTCATCCCAGCACTTTAGAGGCAGAGGAGAGAGAATTGCCTGAGCTCAGGTGTTCGAGACCAGCCTGGGCAACTTGGCAAGACCTCATCTCTACAATAAGTATAAAAATTAACCGGGCTTGGTGGTGCACACCTGTGGTTCCAGCTACTTGAAAGGCTGACGTGGAAAGATCGCCTGATCCCAGCAGCAGGTCTAGGCTGCAGTTGCCACTGCACTGTAGCCTGGGCAGCAGAGTGAGACTCTGATTAAAAAAAAAAAAAGAAAGAAAGAAAGAGCTGGGCTCGGTGGC